GAGTCTTCCCACTTGACTGCGCCCCCTCCCAGCAGCAGCAGCATCTGTCAGCGACAGCGACACACGCCCCCCGCCCGGCCTCACCTGCCCTGCGGCAGCAGGATGTTGTTCACGCCCCCCAGCTTGACGTTGATCTTCAGGCAGAGGTTGGACAGCGTCTGCGGCGTGGTCCGCTGCACGTTCTTCATCTGCACGCACTGGGTGGCCATCCCCAGCACCGTGTCCCCCACGCGCTTCACCTCGGCTGCGGCAGAGGGGGGCGCTCAGGCCGCTCTCCTGGCACCTCCCTGAGCTCTCGCCCCGCCCGTCCACCCCGCCCACCCTGCCCACCCCGTGTCTGGGAGACAGGGGCCAGGCAGGCGCAGGGAAATCAGAGCCTCTGGGTTCAGGTTCTGGCTCCAGCACTGCCCGCCCTCACTCCTCGGGCAGGAGGAACGGGCAGAGCCCGGCTGGAAGCCAGGGGCTGGCACTCCTGGGGCGGAACGCCATCTCCCCCACAGTGCCCAGGACCCGAGGAGTTAATAACAATAAATGCCCCGAAGCCTGTGCATCCTCAGCTAACACCAGGCTGAGCTCACAGAGCGAGCCGGGCCCACACCCCCACCGCCCGGCTCCCGCCCGCCGCCCGCCTACCGTAGACGGGGGTCTTGCCCGGCAGGATGACCACCACCAGCTGCAGGCCCGTGTACGTGTTCTTCAGGTGCCGGAACATGGGCTCCACGCTGTCGGCGCCCTGGGCGTACTTGCAGAAGCACGGCTGGCCCTGGATCGGCATCCCCGCGTCCCTGGAGATCTTTCTGAGCTGCTCCGTGAAGGACCTGGAGGAGAGGGCGCGTCAGGCCAGGAACCCCCGCGAGCTGGAGTCCAGACCCAACCCAACCCGTGCCTGGGGGTCGGGGTCGGAGCCGCCGCCCTGGACAGAGCTGGCCCGCGCGTTCACGCGTGGAAAAGGGTGCAGTGCTAAGCACCCACAGGCCGCTGAGGAGTCACCCCAGCTGTTCTGCTCCAATAAACCGAAGACTCCCAAGGGGCCCCACACTGGCCCCCACCCCGGCCGTGGCCCCCGTGCAGAGTGACGAGGTGCCGTGCTCACGGCCCCGCTTCCGGGGGACACACCCGCCCGCTCAGGCCGTGAATGCCAACCACTGTGGGAGGGACCGTTGCCCTCGTGTGCACAGCTCGGAGACGTGGATGACATAATCGTGGAAAAAGCAGGACGGCAAAGCTAGAGTAACACCTGCAGCTGCCGCCAGCAGGCCGAGGCTCCGCGGCGGGCACACACGCCGGCCTCTATTTTAAGCTCTGGAGCAAAAATAACGTCGCCTTCGACAGAGAGGCTGAGGACACGGATCCAGCCCGGCCGGCCGGTGTCGACAAAGAAACACGTTCGCGCCTGCATCTAGCGTCCACGTGCATTGACTGCGGGGCCACCCGGCTCCAGGCAAAGCGGAAGGAAGGGGCCAAGGACAGACCCCGGGGACAGCCCGGCCCAGACGTGGGCCTCGGCTCGGCTCTGAGGCTCTCGGGCGGCCAGCTGGCCCTGGGTGTGGGGGCCGACCGCAGCCTCCCCCACAGCCCCTCCCCCACGGCAGCTCCCTCTGCAGAAATGTTCTTGGCTACACTCCCCGGCCTTGGTCTTGTCGCTCCGGCTTCCACCCCAGGGAGGAGGAGGCTCCGCCGTGCGGGACGCTGCGCTCACCGCGCTGCTTTCAAAGGCTGTGCAGCTGGCTGGCCCCGCGTTGCCCAGCTCCCTGGAGGGGCGATCCCTGCCCAGGACAGCTGCCCAGACGACTTCCATTCCGCCCCTTCCAGGGAACAAGGCCGCCTCTGACCATCCCGGCCTCCTTCTGGCTCATTTTCTCCGTCTCCCTCCGCACGGACTGTGTAGCTAACGTTCACTGAGTCCGCTTCTCTCTCTCGCCTCCTTTTTTTTTTTTTTTCATATATCTTATTGATTTTTTACAGAGAGGAAGGGAGAGGGATAGCTAGAAACATCGATGAGAGAGAAACATCGATCTGCTGCCTCCTGCACACCCCCCACTGGGGATGTGCCTGCAACCAAGGCACATGCCCTTGACTGGAATCGAACCTGGGACCTTTCAGTCCGCAGGCCGACGCTCTATCCACTGAGTCAAACCAGTTAGGGCTCTCGCCTCCTTTTTACACTCACTCCTGTTTGCTGTTCTCTCGTCTCATCTGTGCTGCCTTTCCCTCTGCTCGGACGACAGCTCCAAGCTGCAGTGGGGAAGGGCCCACACCGCTCGGCCTGTCCCTGCGCGGCCTGTCCCTGCACGGCCTGTCCCTGCGAGGCCTGTCCCTGTCCGGCCTGTCCCTGTCCGGCCTGTCCCTGCGCGGCCTGTCCCTGTCCGGCCTGTCCCTGCCCGGCCTGTCCCTGCGCGG